ATTCGATTTTGAAATCAAGGACAAGAAAGGCACTGAAAATGTGGTTGCCGATCATCTTTTAAGGTTATCGATAGAGCCTTACCCTAGGCTACCAATCTGTGACTCTTTTCCGGATGAACAACTCTTTCAAATTTCTAATGAAAAAATGTCTTGGTTTGCTGACATTGTGAATTATTTGGCAGTAGGCAAGTTACCAACTTCTTGGTCAAAGAACGAAAAGAATCATTTCTTTGCCAACATCCGGAATTACTATTGGGAAGACCCTGTCTTGTACCGATATTGTCTGGATCAAATTGTGAGGAGATGCATTCCAGAGAGTGAAATTCTAGGCGTCCTAGTGTTATGTCACACTCTTGCATGTGGTGGGCATTTTAGTGCAAAGAAGACTGCCTTGAAGGTTCTTCAAAGTGGGCTCTTTTGGCCCACTATTCATAGAGATGCCTACAATTTTTGCAAATCATGTGAGAGATGTCAAAAGATGGGGACAATGTCTAGAAGAGATATGCTGCCCTTGACCAATATACTTGTTGTTGAGATCTTTGATATACGGGGCATTGATTTTATGGGTCCGTTTCCTATGTCCAATGGTTTTCAATTCATTCTACTTGTTGTTAATTATATTTCCTAGTGGGTGGAAGCATGTGCTACCAAAACAAATGACCACTCCGTGGTCATTCAATTCATTAAATCTAATATCTTTGCTCGTCTTGGTATGCCAAGGGCCATAATAAGTGATGAAGGAAAGCATTTTTGCAATCAATTCTTGAGGCACTTATTTCTTAAGTACTCCATCAGTCATAAGGTAGCCACTCCCTACCATCCTCAAACAAGTGGGCAAGTTGAAGTGTCTAACCGGGAAATTAAGCATATTCTTGAGAAAACGGTTAACATCACCTGGAAGGATTGGTCAAGGAAGCTAAATGATGCTTTGTGGGCTTACCGGACGGCATATAAGACTCCCATTGGCATGTCTCCCTATAGGCTTGTATATGGAAAGCCTTGCCATCTTCCGATTGAGTTAGAACATAAAGCCTTGTGGGCGGTTAAAAAACTCAATTTTGACCTTGATAAAGCCAAAGAAAATAGGCTGCTTCAATTGAGTGAGTTAGAAGAGTTGAGACACAATGCTTATGATAATGCCAAAATCTACAAAGAACGAACCAAAGCCTTTCATGATAAGCTTATTGTGAAAAAGTCTTTGGAACCCGGTAAAAAAGCTTGGCTTTTCAACTCTAGACTGAAACTCTTTCCTGGGAAATTAAGAACCAATGTCTCTGTTGCACCTCATGGGGCGGTTAAAATCAAAAACTTGAAGAAGGGGAACATTTTCAAAGTTAATGGACAAAGGTTGAAACCTTACATCGAGGGTTAAGTCTTTTAAAGACATTTAGAAGCTGCACATTTAATTGACCCGGTGTATGATCACATAAAAGATTGCATTGACAAGGAACCAAAAGCTCCTTTTGAGCTTAATCCAACAAGTTCTTCAAAGAACCGTTTGTTTTGAAAAGTTCAAAGCATTCATCACCTCAATAAGGAAGGGATGCATACCGAGATCTTTGATCTGGGCTAAAAGAGCCCAACGTCTTGCTAGAGAGGTTAAAGACTAGCAAAGGCATTCGTAGGGTATCAAAACCCTATTCCTCCCCCATTTCTATCTTCCATCTTATTTCTTGCGAAGTCTGGATACTTGTTTTTGGTTCATATGCATTGAAAAGAACTTTGGCAATGATTGCATGAGCTTTCATGTCATTATCGAGCATTCTGCATAGTTCGATCGATCTCAAACCTGAGTTCGATCGATCGAACTCCATTAAGCATCCAACACTTAGAAAATTTCTATCAATAGCTCTTCAATATCAGTATTAACCAAGTTTTTCTTATTTGTTGCTGCTGCTGGCCATCCCATCTTGTTAATGCCAACAAATTTGAGAGGTACAATAGTTTCATCAGAAAGTGCAGTCTCGGCCGAATACACCCTTGCTATAAAGGGTTTATTATCGGCCTCAACAATTTTTACCTCATTACCATCCCAAAAAATCAACATTTGATGCAATGTTAATGGGACACACATATTAGGGTGAATCCAATCTCAGCCTAAAAGGAGGTTATAGGCTGTAGTTGAATCAATGATAAAGAAGGCCGTAAAGGATGTTTTGCCACCAATAGTAATTTCCAAAGGCAGAATACTTTTGGTGTTACTAGATCCTCCATTGAAACCACTGATAGCCACGTTAGTTGGAACCACATCATCCATGGTCTTACCCAATTTCTTTAAAGTAGTTGCTAGAATGACATTTACCACCGAACCATTGTCGACCAATACCCTATTGATTAGCTATCCTTTAACCTATACCTTAACATACAAGGGCCTCAACTGTTGTGTCATGGCTAGAGGTGGTTTTTCAAAAATGATTTTATCGGCCTTAGTTGGTTGATACTCAGAAACCAATCCTACCCTGGCTGATGAACTTTGTGAATCATTCTTGATTTCTAATGATTCGGCCTCTCCCGTATGATTGGCTGATGTGACGTCCCTATTCATCTTTTGCTCCATCCTTGCTTCAAATATAAAATGCAAAACAAATACCATATTGCAATTTACCTCATCCAGAAGAGAAGCAAAATGAATCCTATACTTAACCACATGTTTTGGATCTTGATCTGACTGATCATCTTTCTCCTTATAGGAAGATACCTCATTCTGAAAAGATATAGCAACCTCCATGTCTTCAACCTCCCCTGGTTCATCTTTCTTAGTTAATTAAATCTGGTCGATTTTAGCCTCTTTTCTTCTAAGTTCTTCATTCTTCCTTTGCATCCTTCTTTTTTAAGTATGGGTAGGAGGCTCCTTAAGGAACTTCAGATGATTCACACGAGTCCATCTGCCATGATCAACTAAAGGAGGCCTAACCGTTCTTACATAACTAGATTTTTTCCACTTTTGAATCCATAATTCTGACTGGATTACTAGTTTCCTTTTGAAACTAGGATTGGAATGTTGTTCTAGTAGAACTCTATTGGCCACAGATCTTTCTGACAGAATGATTCTTACTGCCCTTGGCATGTTCTCTCTGAATATTGGTCGATTAACTTCTTCAAGATTCTATCTAGGCTGATGACCCAACCTTTCATGGACACAGCGCTTCCTAGTCGATTAAAATAGCTCCTCTTATCTTGATTATTCCCACGACCTTTACAATTTGGATAATAGCCGTGTTGATGAGGGCAATTTGAGCTTCCCTCAATTGATTTTTGATCGGTTGATCAACTATACATCAACCTTCGCAATAGCACGAATCATTGTAAAATAGGGCTATTGGTCGGGTAAGGCGAACCACTGGGACTGCGCTAGTCTATGGCAACCTAAGTGTCTAGAATTGTTCTTAGAATGATAAGGGGTTTATAGAGGTTTGTTGGATGTCACTTAAGCTAGGAAATTAAAAGTGCATAAAACAATAAACTGCAAGAATTCAAGGGAGTGAAGTACAAGTAAAGAAGGCTAGGGAAATGAATCCACCTCCATCCCTATACACATGCTAGGTTAAGAATAATTTAAGGGAAAAACAACATATATGATAGTCATGATACATAACAATACTAGGTTGCTATAATATCCTCAAGAAGTTCATTTAAATAGGAAAGCAAGAATAAACCATCAAAGGTTCACATGATCAACTACCTAAACTAAAATGTAGCTTAGAGCATGCTTACTAAGTCAAGGATTATCAAGCCCTAATTTAAATGGTGAATGCACATAAAGCAAAGAATCAAGTATAGACCATCAAAGGGAAACCTTAAGCTATGAACTATCTAGGTTCTCCAACTCCATGCCATTGAAACCATTCCATGATCTAACTTCCATTGTCACCATGGAAGTGCAAGCAATATGATTACGAAAAGCAACTATCCAAGACAAGATGAATAACTCACAATAATCATTTATAAACATTCAACATTCATTACAACAAAAATGAGGCTCTTGACCATGGAAAGACTATCAAAAATACATTGTAATCCCCAAAAATAAACTATACTAACACATGCTTACAAGGGAGGGGTTTCATCACCTCCCTAGAAGAAGAGTTAGTTACCCATTGGAGCCTTAGAATGAAGAAGAAGCTTGAACTCCATCTCCAATTTTCGAGCTCCCCCTTGTTAGCTTCAAGAACACCTTCCTTTCTTGCTCTCTTCTCTCTCCTCTATCTTGCAAAAATCAAAGATTCCTAATGTGTGGCCCTTGGGTAGCTTTTTATGCTCCAACAACACCCTCTCTCTCCTCCAAGGAACACCTCCAACCACTTCATAAAGAAGGAAGATGGCATTGAGGAAACCAATGTGCAAGTGGCTGAAATTGAGCCATTTCCGAGTGCAATCTGCTTGATTTTCGAGCACTCTAACTTAGTGCAATGTGCAACATGCTCCTCTTGCTCAGCGCTGACCTATTTTGGTAAAACTGCTATAACTTTGTACCCCGAACTCCGAATGATGATCTGTTTAAAGATTTGGAGAGCTGATTCAGTGCTTTAAAAATTTCATGTTTTGATGAAGACCCAATTCTCAAGTCTGGTTGGTCGAAAATGGGGAGAAAGGCAGTACTTCAGTGCTGCCAGGCAGTTCTGCGCACCTCTGTTACAAAGATCATAACTCTCTGCTCCAAACTCCGAATGATGAACCACTTGAAGATTTGGAAAGCTGATTCAGAGATCTAAATCTTTCATGTTATGATGAAAGTCTAGTTCTTGAGTTTGCTAGGTCGAAAATGGCGACAAAAGTCAGGATCACTGCTGCCAGAAATTCAGAAATGGCATCCTTTTTGTTCAAAATTCCATAAGGCATCATTTTTGCTTCCTTTTTGCACTTTAACCTGAAAATGCATAAAAACATGCAAATGGAGTTAATCTACATAAAATAATTAATAACTGGACTTTGTTAATGTAATTTAGGGCGCTTGAATTTACAATATTCGGCGCTTATCAATTTTCCAAATCCTCCACCCTCTACTCATCGCTGCAGGCTGATGGTGAACTATCAAGTACTCTTTGTAGCCTTTCTTGTTTACCATTATCAGTGGCTTTTCCAGTTGCCAAGCTGATTACATTGGTATTTACAATATTAGGGAATGGATCACCATCGACCCCCATCACTTCTAGCTTCTTTTTAGGGAACTTCAATACACCTTCATCAATTGCTTTATGTAATACATTTCTAAATACATGACAATTGTTAGTAGTATGATTCCATGAATTATGAAATTTGAAAAACTCTTTTCCCTTCAAATCAGTGGCTGAAAGTATATTGTGTCCTTTTGGCAGAATAATTTGTTTGTCGTCCAACAAATGATCAAAACTTTGTTCTGTCTTGGCCATATAAAATGTATAAACCTTACCAATATCGGCTATACCCTTCCTGGCCGATGAAGTTGATGGCTGAGTATCACTGGTAAATGCTTTGGTTTTGTCAAAGCCTCACATACATAAGGCTTTTTAAGAATAATTTCAGCCAAATTAGCATCAAGATCTTCATCTTTAACCACATCGGTTGAAAAAACTTCATAATTGGGGTCCCTATAGTATGTACCTTTAGAAGAATTTTTTCGTTCTTTCTCCTTCTTGAGGACCAACTCATACCTGGTAGCTTTCTCTGCCAGGTCATATATGTCACGAAATGGGACTCTTTCAAACCTCTTCTAGAGTTTAAAATCAAGGTCATTCAAAGTTAAACAGATGTACTCTTGTTCTGGAAGAGGTACACGGCATCTCAATCTTGCCCTCCTAAATGTTGCAATAAATGTCTTAACTGATTCCCTAGGAAATTGGCTTAGCTTGGATAAACCGGCCAGAGTTGGTTCTGTCTCCGTACGGTAGAATTGATTGTGAAATAACTCCTCCATCTGTGGCCAATTAAAAACAGAGTTAGGAGGTAAACAAATATACCATGAAAAAGCTACCCCTGCCAAGGAGTTAGGAAAAAGTCTTAGTTTTAACCAAGGGTTCACACTGGCCTCTCCACATTGAACTGTGAAGCGGCCAATGTGTTCCACGGTCGATTGATTCCCTTCTCCACTAAAGGTTACTAAGTCAGGGACTTTGTATCCTCTAGGGAACTCAACTTGATCTACCACTTCTGGATATGGAGTTCTATAGATTGGTCGACCGACACCTCTAAGTTCCAGGTTGTACTCTTATGCGAGTAAATCAACTAATTATCCTTTGTCTAATATGACCTATGCTAGCTGATTGACTACTGGTGGTACCTGATTAAAAATTGGCGGTTGATTAGCCACTGGTTGATAGTAATTCGGCCAATTATATTGTAATGACCAGGTCATTTTCATTCCTTTCCTTTTCTTGAAATTTTACAGATAAATTTTTTCCGTTTAACTTTCCTTTCTAAGCTCTGTTTCTCATCGCTTAATGCTATCTCGAGTGCTTGGAAATGGTTTCCAAGACTCTTTCATATGGATTGACAACTTCCTTTGAGGACCGAGTCATTTCCACATTTTCACTTTTCGGACACTATTCATTTTTTGTCCTTTTCCCTATTTCATCCTTTTCCCTATTCTGTTTTTTCCCCGTTTGTCACTTCGTTGGCAAAACCTCACCTTTCATGCTCAAAGTTGGTTTTTGACTTCACGTGTCTTCATTCGAAGTGGTTTCCACAAAATACGTATCATTACTTTTGCAAGAAAGTACTCTAGTTGCTCCCGGTATCCATAAGGGCATGGATGCACAGTTTTTCAGAATCTTTTTCTTTACTTGGGGTTTTTTTCATAAATATCTTTTGAAGATATTTTATTTCAAGGGTTTTTAATAAAATATTTTTGGAAGATATTTTCATTCTGGGGCATTAGTGCAATTTTCACTTTTTGGAGGGGTCATTGTGCAATTAACGAAAGTTATTGAAAAAATACCTCATCTGGAGCCTGGATCCTTGTACGGGATTCATTTTCACATTTCATCGAGTCGTGTACTCTTACAATTCCGTTCTGGTCATTCTTCTCCAGTTTCAGAGTTTCTTACCCCGGTTGCCGCCGAACTTATTCGGGGCATATGTCTTTGCTCGGGCTCGATTTTCGATGCCGTTTCTTCTGTTGTTTAGATTTTCTCATTTTAAATCTTTTTCGTTCATAGAGTTTTGCCATTTGAGCGCGTCTGCTCAAATTACACTTTTCCAGACCCGGTAGAGCCCTTTCGAGGCACTTTTTGAGATTTTCTATAAATAGGGGACTTAAAGAGAAAAAGTGTAATGACCCGGTCTTTTTCCTCCTTTTCCATTTTCGGCGATTTTCTTTTTTTCGTCTTTTTCCTATTTTGTCTTTTCTTTATTTTGTCTTTTAGTCGTTTTTCATTTTTCCTTGCATAACCACACTTGTTGTGCTCGGATTTGATTTTGGTTTTGCATGCATTCATGGTATTTGATTTCCAAGACATTGGTATTTTTACTTTTCTTGAAAAGCATGCTAGATTAGTACTTTTCTTGTAATGGGTATGAATGTGTAATTATTTATAACTTTTGGGGTTTTAGTGTAATTATGTAAAAAAATTATTTTTCATTTTAGGGACCTTTTTGCAATTTATTTTAGAAGATATTTTGAAAAATGACCATTTCACAAATTTTGGAAAGTGTGACAAGTGTAACACTCTCATGGAGCCATTTGTTGGCATTTAGGTGAGGAGACTTGGCACCATGACTTCTTGACATTTGGTGGGTGGAGATTCATCCATGTGTTGGCCTTAGATTAGTGCACATGTAGCCTTTGATTTGTGACAAGTGTGGGCTTGGGATTTAGTCTTAGAAGAGGTATTGGATTAGTGACAAGTGTAGGATCAAGGTTTAGTTTTGCATAGTGTATGTGAGAAAGGTAGTGCAAGAGCACATAGTGAGTTGAGGATTTCTAGCCCTTCCACTCACCATTTTTACACTTTACCTTCTTTATTTCATAATCTCTCATGAACCTTAGCAAATCCACCATTGGAGGAAAGCTTAGTTCATAGCTTCTCCCTTCAATTTGGTTCACTTCCTTACACCTTAGAGTAGAAACCTTGGGAGAGAAAAGATTCCTCTCACTCTCCTCTTCAATAACCCTAAACTTGTTTTACATTTAGGGCTTGGTTGTTTAGATTATAGAGATTCAATTCTCTATTGAGGTAGGGGTGGTTGTATGTTTATCCTCTTTGGGTTTTATATATATTGGAGCTTGATATATATGGATTACATGCTTTAAAATCCTTGTAATTGCATATAAATAGAGATTTTGTATTCTTGACTTAGGATTTGTGGATTAAAACATGTATATGACTATTAAATTGTGTAGGTAGGTTATTGTTTAATAATTTGCCTAATACTTGTGATTTCATTGAGGGTTTATGATGAATATCTTGAAATTACTCTTGTGTTGTTAAGTAATATAGATTTCATTGAAAGTCTTGTAAGTATCACTTGAAATTACTTGTAGGTAAATTGCTATGTTGCATAATTAGTTATTGTGGCCTACATTAATATTAAATCCATGTGGCATAATGTGTAGTATCATTAGTTTGCCACTTTAGACATGAAACCTTAGGGCATGGTTTGTGTGGTTTTACCCTACTTATGCTTGGTACGTAGTTCATGCGTTGAGATTGCATAAATGTCATGAACTTGTTAATTTTTGGAAGCGTGTAAGGGTATGAATTCTTTGATGGCTAGAGTTTGGCTCTAATATGGAGGATTTAAATTCCCCTAAGTCACAGTGCGCACTAGGCAGTACCTTGTGGGTCATAATTACCCAAAATAACTTGTATGGTCTCATGGCCACATATCCTAGTCTTTCCATTACTTGATTTCGCATTACTTTCCAAGTTGTAAATCATGGATTTCTTGTAGCTTGTGATTTGGTAAATCTTAGTTTTAATGTGGTTAGTGTACTTGCTTATGTATACTTGGATGTTATGTGTTTACTGTTTCAACATTTGTATAGCTTGAGATGATCCCTTAGAGCACCATGGGAACATAGACGTTAGGTGGAATGCACCCTTGTGATGGTCTATGTTTGGTTCGCATTATACTTGAAACTATAGGATATGCACATGCACCACATCCTACGAGTAAATTGATTACTCACCCTAGTGGTTTGGGTTGTTTTTCAGGTAAAGAGACTATGTTCTTGGAGGCTCATCATCCTTAGAAGCTTTTGAGCTAAATGAAACATTTTTGTATATTGACATGCAAGTGTTTAGCATGCCTTTCTTTTGATATCATATTTTGAATGCCATGGGTGTATGGTACTTTTGGAGCTTTAGTAGCTTTCTTGATATGTAATGACACTCAAACATTTACTTTTGCCATTATAAACATGTATGTAAAGAGGCCAAGGGCCAAACATGTATACTTTTGTACTTAAACACTTTTGGTACCAACCTTTGCATCAAAAGTGTATTTAAACCAAAGTTTGAGGTTTAACATATGAAAATCTTGAAAATGATGTGTATGTGGCCATGGGCCATTGTTTTATGTTTATTTATTCATATCAAGGTTGTTGGCATGTTCACATTCTTAAAACTCATGAAAAATCAGTTTTGCAAATTCTTTGTCAAACAAAACATCATGGGATTCAAAGTTGAGGTTGAACCTTAACACCTTAGACTCATAGCAGCCTTTTTAGCAGCTTTTCATGGTGTTTTGGTCGGCCGAAACTCCATTTTGGTCAACCGATGACAAAAGGAATTGCCAAAGCACAGTATAACCACATTCTAGTAGCTAAATGCACTGTTCATGAGTCATTTCGGTCGACCGAACCTTCATTTTGGTCTACCGAAGCAACACGAACCTTTTCTTCATGATTTCATTTCGGTCGTCCAAAAGTCCATTTCCAATGGTATCAATCCCAGTCTCAAATTCCAAACACAGTGGGAGTTATGTGTGTTTTAGTGAAGTAGTGTCAGTTTTTACTTCGACCTGGACGGGGCATTTTGTTGGATTCTTAGCCAATGTTCATGGAACCTCTTGGAATGTTTCAAAATGATTAGATTAGGTTGTATTAACCTTGTTTGACTTGTTTAGAGTCAAGTTTCTCCTTTTAATAGTGAATTGACCTTTTTGCCCCTTGGATAGCAAATTTTGTCCTTTTTGACATTTGTTTCCATTTTTGTCCTCTTTAAGTTCCGTGACCTTATGGAGGGTCACATTTATGTCTTAGGAGTGACTCCTATCTCTAGAGACCTTGGTTTACCTTTAGCTTCCGCATTTCAGATCTGCTATCGGATCATTTTCGGTTCATCACTGACACACCGGGTTGAAAAACTTGGGCCGTCACAAGTGGTATCAGAGCTCCTAGGTTTGAATACCTTAGGACGACGGGTTTTGTGCGCATATCATGCTTTTGTTGATGTACCTTGATGCATTCACATGCTTTTAATTACATGTTTTGGCAGTATAACATGTTTAGGTGTTTCTTGATAACATGCGTAGTAGTATGACATGTCCTTATGCTTATATGCCTATGTGGTTAAGAGCATCCTTGTTTAACATATATGCTTAATTGCTTGAGTGCTTAATTATTTAAAAGCTTTTGTTAATTGCTTTAGCGTGGCAGTATGTTGCATATCTCATCTTGCTTCATGTCTTGTGCATTCATAGTGTGAATTGCACTTGAGTTATTGTTGACCTCATTTCTTTTATGCATTTAACGTCATGGTTATCACTCGTGGAGAGTCTTTGCGTCAGGGCATTGAGGAACAGGTGGATGATATCGAGTTCAGACGGGGTTTGGGGAGGCCCAGGATTCTAGTTCGTGGCGTGGATGCTAATCCGCCATGGACATCGACTTATGAGAAGCGAGTAGCTCAGGGAATCAATCGGGGGATCGCTGAATCTCTACAGGAGTTGATACGTAGGCAGGTGACAGGGATACAGATTCCGGCACCGGCACCAGCACCAGTAATCAATGAGGCACTAGAGTACTTTATGCGATTATAGAGGGTCAAGATTAATCCATTTGCGGGGAGTTCAGGTCTGCTAGTCTCGAAAGCTTGGTTGGACCTTATGGTTCCCAAGTTAGACAGTATGGCGGTACCCACGGACAAGTTGAGGATTTCCTTAACTGCTTCTTTGTTCATGGGGGATGCAGATATCTGGTGGAGGTCTATGACCAATGTCCACAATGTCAAGTCGATGACTTGGAATGAGTTCAGAGATCTATTTTTTGAGCGCTTCTTTCCTAGGGCTATGAGGTGGGAGATGAGGACACAGTTCGCAAGCCTTTATCAGGGCACTATGAGTGTCATTGAGTATGAGACACGGTTTACTTCTCTCTCTCGTTACGCCGAGGATATGGTAGCGACAGACGAGGCCAGGGCAATGAAGTTTCTGGATGGGCTACATCTTGACATCAGGCCATGGGTCTTCATTCTTTATTTGAGGACCTACAAGGAAGTGGTCCAGAGGGCTATGCTAGCTGAAGCAGAGGAACGAGATCAGTTACGGATCAGGGGTTCATACAAGCAGCTTCGCGGCGACACTCCATCATCTTCTGGGGGCCAGTAGAAGAAGGCTAAGGCCAGTGATAGTTCACGCACTCAGGGACAGTCACAGTAGGCCCAGTCTGTATCTGCAGTTCTAGTATCTTCGGGGTCGGTCCGAGGAGTGATTTGTCACCATTGTCAGCAGCCGGGGCATATCAAGCCTCGCTGCCCACAGCTTCAACCACAAGCCAGTCAGTCATAGGCTAGTAAGCCTACAGCTTCGACGAAAGGGGTTCACGGAGCTTGTCATTATTGCAAGCAACCAGGTTACTTCAGGAGAGAGTGTCCAAAATTATAAAGCAGGACTCAGAGTGGCATAGGTTCATAGGTCACGCCGGCACAGTTAGCAGTTATGCAGTCAGGTTTTAGGGTACCTCAGGCACCACAGCCGGTGACACCGCCAGTTAGTTCTTATCCGGTTAGAGGTTCTACACCTATTACTTCCGGACATCAGTCAGGCCACAAGGGCAGTTCTCAATAGTCGGGGGCTTAGGGATAGGCTTACGCATTGCCACAGGCCGATACCTCTGCAGGGACTTCTACAGTTTGAGGTATCTTTCCAGTTTTCAGTTCTAAAGCTAGAGTTCTTATTGACACAGGTGCATCACATTCTTTCACTTCTGCATCATTTGCACATTCATTGGGTCTGGAAGTCATACTTCAGAACAGCCTTCTTTGTGTTGACACACTAGTTGGGTTTCCAGTGTCTTCGGATCGTGTTTGTTGAGGTTGTGCTATTGAGATAGCTGGGCAGACCTTAGAGTTCAATTTTGTTGTTCTCGACAGGACAAGCTTTGATGTCATTCTTGGAATGGATTAGTTGTCATTCTTTCAGGCTACGATTGATTGCTTCCACGGGAGGGTATCCGTTTGCACTCCCAAGGGAGATTGTTTCCATTTTGTGGGAGATCGGAGTGATTCCCACCCGGCAATGGTTTTTAGCATTAGTGACTGGAGTCACCACAGATCCTACTTTGCTAGTTTGCTAGTTGACGAAGATAATAATTTGGGCTGTATTCTTCCGGCAGTTGTTGAAGAGTTTTTTGATGTCTTTCCAGAGGAACTGATAGAGTTGCCTCCTTTAAGGGAAGTTGTTTTTGCCATTGACGTCATTCCCGGTACAACACCTATCTCTATGGCACCGTACCGTATGGCACCGGCAGAGCTTGATGAGTTGAAAGGTCAGTTGGATGATTTGAAAGCTAAGGGCTTTATTCGTCCTAGTGCTTCAACATGGGGAGCACTGGTTCTTTTTGCAAAGAAGAAGGATGGGTCTTTAAGACTTTGCATCGATTATCGCAAGTTGAATCACGCTACGATCAAGAACAGGTATCCTTTACCTAGGATTGATGACTTGTTTGATCAGTTAAAGGGAGGGACATGCTTTTTGAAGATTGATTTGAGATCAGGTTACTATTAGTTGAGGGTTAAGGATAAGGATATAATATCCAAGACCGCTTTTCGTACACGGTATGGCCATTATGAATTTCTGGTGATGCCATTTGGTTTGACCAATGCTCCAGCAGCTTTTATGGATTTGATAAATCGTGTATACAGTGACTATCTTGACAAATTTGTGGTGGTTTTTGTTGATGACATTCTCATGTACTCAGCTTCGAGAGAGGAGCATGAGTATCATCTGAGAGCAGTTTTACAGATCCTTTGGGATAACCAATTGTATGCCAAGTTTGAGAAGTGTGAATTTTGGCTACCAGAGGTGAAGTTCCTTGGACATGTTGTGTTAAGGGGCAGTGTTATAGTGGATCCAACAAAGATTGAGTCTGTGATGGATTGGGGGCGTCCGAAGACAGTGTTTGAGATTCGGAGCTTTCTTGGCCTAGCTGGCTACTACAGGAGATTTGTTCGGGATTTCTCTAACAACACCTATGACTCGACTTACTCACAAGGCGGTCAAGTTCATATGGAATGAGGCTTGTGATTTTGCTTTTTAGGAGTTGAAGGTCAGGCTGACATCAGCTCCAGTTTTGATCATACCTGAACATGGTTTGGGTTACATGGTCTATTATGATGCTTCGCGAGAAGGATTAGGTTGTGTCTTGATGCAGACAGAATGGGTAGTTACTTATGGTTCTCAACAGTTGAAGACTCACGAGTTAAACTATCTGACACATGACTTGGAGTTGGTAGCAATTATCTTTGCCCTGAAAGGGTGGAGACATTATTTGTACGGGGAGAAGTTTTAGATTTTCTCCGATCATAAGAGTCTCAAGTATCTCTTCTCTCAGAAGGATTTGAACTTGAGATAGCGCAGATGGGTTGAGTTCATGGAGGACTATGACTTTGTGCTACAGTATCATCCGGGAAAAGCCGATGTGGTGGCCGATGCATTGAGTAGGAAGTCACGGGGTACTCTTGCTAGCATTTCCATTCACAGATGGAAGATGCTAGAAGAGCTTGCAGATCTAGGTTTGCAGTTATATGAGGATGTTTCACCGGCTATTTTGTTTAGCCTTATAGCTTAGCCGGCTCTTGTCGGCACAGTTATTGAGGCACAGCAGGAGGATGAGGAGATGAAGTCCATCCACAATCAGATTTTAGGCGGCCAGAATGTAGAGGGTTAGACCTTGCACTCGGACGGTGGTCTCAGGTACAGAGGGAAGATGGTTGTTCCTTTGTCTTGTCGTGACGTTGTTCTTCAGGATTTTCACCATTCTCGACTCGCAGTTCATCCTGGTGGTACCAAAATGTATCACGATTTACGGAGATAGTTTTGGTGGAAAGGCATGAAATGGGATGTTTCTCAGTTCGTAACTAAATGCCTTACTTGTCAACAAGTGAAGGCAGAGCATCAGAGACCGGCAAGGTTGTTGCAACCACTACTGGCTCATGAAGGCAGAGCATTAATGACCCGGTCTTTTTCCACCTTTTCCATTTTCGGCAATTTTCTTTTTTTCGTCTTTTTCCTATTTTATCTTTTCCTTATTTCGTCTTTTAGTCATTTTTCGTTTTTCCTTGCATAACCTCAGTTGTTGTGCTCGGATTTCATTCTAGTTTTGCATACATTCATGGTATTTGATTTCCATGACATTGGTATTTTTACTTTTCTTGAAAAGCATACTAGAATAGTACTTTTCTTGTAAAGGGCATGAATGTGTAATTATTTATAACTTTTGGTGTTTTAGTGTAATTATGTAAAATAATTATTTTTCATTTTAGGGACCTTTTTGTAATTTATTTTAGAAGATATTTTGAAAAGGGACCATTTTGCAAATTTTGGAAAGTGTGACAAGTGTTACACTCTCATGGAGCCATTTGTTGGCATTTAGGTGAGGAGACTTGGCACCATGACTTCTTGACATTTGGTGGGTGGAGATTCACCCATGTGTTGGCCTTAGATTAGTGCACATGTAGCCTTTGACTTGTGATAAGTGTGGGCTTGGGATTTAGTCTTAGAAGAGGCATTGGATTAGTGACAAGTGTAGGATCAAGGTTTAGTCTTGCATAGTGTGTGTGAGAGAGGTAGTGCAAAAGCACATAGTGAGTGGAGGATTTCTAGCCCTTCCACTCACCATTTTTATACTTTACCTTCTTCATTTCATAATCTCTCATGAACCCTAGCAAATCCACTATTGGAGGAAAGCTTAGTTCATAGCTTCTCCCTTCAATTTGGTTCACTTCCTTACACCTTAGAGTAGAAACCTTGGGAGAGAAAAGATTCCTCTCACTCTCCTCTTCAATAACCATAAACTTGTTTTACATTTAG